TAGAAGAAATACTGCCCTCTTGTTTATTATTTGAGTAACTCCTTGTCTGTAAGTGATCAGTCATGCACATGTTTCTGTTTCTTAACCTTGAAGTCTTGTTTTCCATTTCCTCATCTGTGCTTAATGAAGAGTTCCTGCCGCACATACGAGCAACTTCTCTTCTCTGCCCCATTCGTTTAGTTGTCACTTTCTTTCTTAATCTTGCGCCTATTGAGCTATCCTCTTCGTCTGTACTCCTCCTTGTTGAATCTGTATTCTCACCTTCACTGTCCATCTGTGTAGCGTATGTGGCATTAACTGCACGATTCTTAAGGCACATTTTTCTGGAAGGCATTTTACAATCACCTCCAGAAGAAGAAGAAGAAGAAGAAGAATCTTCAGTGTCTATAATTCTATTCCAGACTCGTCTAGCAGATTTGTTGCCTGAAGTTGACCTGGTAGAAGACATTTGTACTTTGACTTCACTTTCAGTTGATCTACAGTTACTATGACGAGTATTAATGCAGGAACTACAGAGGCAAAAGCAATTCCTCAGTCCATGACATACATGGCCAGCCTGTGGGACACAAGGGTGATTCATATTTGCACAAACACCAATAATACCATGTCTGCAACAGCAGCCCTTTGAAAGCCCAGGCATGGACTGCATTGCCAATGCACAGCTCAGAATGTTTTGGTGGAACAAAAGAGGATCCATACCATGGTGATGGAAGTTAGGCACCAGTGGCATCAAACGATCATGATGATGAACTTCTTTATGATAAGATGATAAATGTGGAGCATCTTCCAGAACAAATAAACCTGAAGAAGCTGCCATGCTTTGCTGTGACAGAGATTTGTCAGCAGGCCTAAAGAACTGGGTTGTAGATGCAGGAGTGGAAGAATCTTCGGATGTAAAAGGGAAAACCTTGCCAGAATTGTCATCACTTTTGTCAGAACACAACTGAGGCGTCACTCTCTCCGACTTCTTTACCTTGCCCTTCAAATATTTCTCTGGTTTCTTGTAATCATAACGAATCATACTGCTTTGTTTCTTTGATTTACTTTCCAGAGAGTTCTGTTTTGAGACTGCGCTTAGGAAATTAATCTTCTCTGTTCCTTTTAATGGTGATTTAAAGCTATCATATATCATGGTGCCATTCTCAGCAACACTCTGTGTTTGAATTCCAATCTCAGCATAAACTTTTCTCGAGAGTTGTGTCTCAAATGTTTGTTTCTTGCCTTCACTGCAGGTTGATTCCTCCTTTGGCAAACTAGAGTTATTAATCTTATCGTCTGGATGGGAGACACTGTCAGCACTGACTGTATCATCTGTTTGTACAGCACAAGTGTTGTTAGAGGTGATGCTAGTCTGACAGGCAATACTGCATCTGATAATGCCACGTGTTTGAATAGCTACATGACATGGAGGCTCCTCAGCAATCTCATCCACTCCAACAGCAGCATCCAACATTTCAACACAAGTTGAAGTGAAAGCATCACGCATCTCTGCTTTCTCAAACCCCGTAGAAGAAGAATGGCCTGAAAAACAATCAACACACTGTAGTAATGGAAATGTGAAATAGTGACATTTTTACACTCAGAGAGTTGCATGCCATATGGAGAATGTTACCGTCACTGTTGGAAATCTCTTTTTCAAGTAAAGTATCAAGTTTCATTACTTATGACACACTTTTCCAATTTTACCTAATAAAGTATAACTATACTACACCTTCTTTTTCCTGCAGCAAGAGATAGTTATATCCCGAACTACAGTCAGTGGGGAACAAGGATCACCACAGGGTTGACGTGGTAATTTTTTTATATATAAACGAACAAATTAGAAACAACAAATTAAAGAAGAACACAGAATATTTTTACTTTTGAAATTTGGATCCTCTCATACAAAACTTCCCATAACAGGTACAAAAGTTTTGTTTACTGGCTGACAGCCCGCTGTCGACTGTCTCCACTCTAGTACTGCCCGTATTCTTGACCTAACTTCCAGAATTCCTTGCTAGCGTGGGAACCTCCACACATGACTTGCTAGCATGGGATCTTTCACACGTGATTGACTGGCCAGTTCAAATTTTAATTCCAACAGTTACAGGGGTTCTGGACTGGTATAAAAGAATAAAATCAGAAACTCCAGTATCTTTCCTAATACAAGTTGATGAAATAAACAACTTGAATATGAAAGAATTACATTAAATCTCTCATATTAAAAATGTTGATTTAATCACAAACACTGAAAAAATAAGGTTTGTTCACACACAAAAAATAAATAAGAGTAAAAAGTTATAATAGTGTAAGACTGCAGTCACTTGAAGTTGTCTTACACTGCAGTGTTAAGAATATAGTGCAACTACTATATTATCAATTACAAATACATACTTCTATTAGTGTGTGTCTACTTCCTATAGACTTTACCTCACTAACAGCAGGCTATATTCAGCAATGGATGATATGTGATCTGGCAAGTGAGAAGTTCGTATGACCGATCTCAACCTCCTCGTCACAAATTTTGTGTGTCAAACAGGCAACAGAAATCATGCAGACACAAATGCAACAACTAATACATACTTTCACCATGGCTCATGAATGCCCCTGGCTCTGGGGTCATTGGTGACAGGAGATTTGGAACATTCTTCATTTCTTCCATAATATTCTCAATATGCAGACTTCTATCAGCAGCAGACTCATCTTCTGCCAGTGCTGATTTGCAGTCTGAATTAATATCAACAGGAACCAAACCACCACCACCCCAATTAGTCTTTGCCTCACTGGCGCCTCCCTCTTCCTTATGCCGAACTCTGACTGAAGTCAATGGAATATCCGGTTCAAACAGTGACGGAAGTCCCACGCCAATCATCTTAGATGGATGTTCTTCCAGACCAGGAGCAGCCATCATGTTCCTGTCACCAGACTCTGCATGATCCACTTCACTCCTGTTCTTGGCTGGAACCTCTGGAGCATCAGTTCTACTTGGAGGAGTTGAGGTGCTCACAGATGCTTTTCTTTTGGCAGGATTTGTTCCTGGCACTGATGCTGATTCAGGAGAGTCATGTACCTGACTTCCATTGCCTCTAATCATGACCTCATTATTTGAACCCAAGACGAGTGGAACCACAGTACCTGATGAATGTTTTTTATTGTTCTTCTGATGTGCTTTCCTTGTGCTGTCTGAGGTCAGAAGTTTGCATGTCACGTCTGCATGAAAAACAGCTGAAATAAAAAAGTATAAGAATAAAAAACACACAAAAAGGAGTAATGACACAGACAATACTCTTTTGCACTAAAATTTACATTTTATGAACATATCTGCAAAGACATCTACATAAAACAGTCAAAAAATTCCCAGATTAAAACTAGACACAGGCACTCTGGGTTCTATTTGACATGAAGTTCAAGGACGTCCCACACCGTCTGAGGCATCATGGCTTCAGACCGGTGATATGGAATGCACGCTGGTTCGAGTCTCGGGGAAAGAAATTTCTCATGAGATTTTCAACCGGTGTATGGGACCAGTGCCAACCCTGCATCGTGAGGAAATTTGGAAGCTACAATGGGTAGCGTAATCCGGTCATGAAAACTAGCAATGGCTGGGGGTTCATCGTGCCGACCACACATCACCCTATATCTGGTTGGATGATCGTTCACCTCTGCTTAGGCATGTGAACGTGAGGCCAGCAGCCAGATAGTCGGCTTTGGCTCTCAGAGGGCTGTTACACCACGGATTATTGTTATTATTATTACCATTAAGCTCAAAGACAGTACTTTGAAACTGACTGTGTCTGGGTGGAGAAAAGAAATGTTTTACTGTATCATAAATGCCTCTGTGATACATTTATTCTTAGATTATTTGACAACACTACCTTCAGTTGCAGAGAATATATGGAGTCAAATGTGATTCTTGAATGAAATACCACACAAATGGGAAATGGAAGAAATAACAAATGGTGATAATAAAATCAATTAAGTCAATAAATTCAATTATTTCAGATGCAAAGTGTCATATGAATGTGAAAAAGATAGAAAAGCTAAAATTTCTAATTTTTTGAAAGTTACAGGCCTTAGAGGAAGAAGAGGGCCATTTTTTGTACTCACAGTTGTAAGGCAGTATAACTTCAGTAGGGCATATTTCTGGACTTCAAATGGTTTGGAAATTGTGTGAGCTAGGCCTATAACTAAGAAGGATTTAAAGTTGAAAGAGACTACAACAAACAAAATTGGAAAGGAATACTCTTTGGAGTATACCACCATTCCAAAGTCGCTCTTCGCACCATGCCACACAGGTCGTTGATGTATAAATGTGTACTTGGTTTATTAATGCAACCTTAGTCACACTTGCGCTAATGTTATCCTATAACATTTTTGCATTCTTGCACTGTGAACCAAAGAATTGTGCAACAGTATCTCCCAACAATGACCTTAATTGCTTTTCACTTTAATGTGATCAAAGGCCCCATTGTTGCACAATAGGACTCCTTTATCCCAAATGCATAACAATAGGTTTTAACAATAAGACTTGTTGGATCCCATACCAGTGGGATGTTGGATTCCATTGTGGCCCAATAATGGGCTCAAACAATGAAGTGTACTCATGCAGACAGATGGACAGAATGGCCACATCACTTTATTTCTTGTTAAACTGACTTTAACTCTTACGTCATACAAAAATCGTAAGTTATGTTTTGTTTCTTCCACGCAAACCCTCTGACAAACTTCATACACTAATAAGAGCTTAATAAATCACAGTTTGTAAACAACTGCTCTAAATCAACGGCAAAAAGTCTTACCAGTGTGATCCTTGACATTGCTGGTATTCGAATCCAGGCTTATAGAAATAACTGAGTTATGGTCATCATCAGATAACAGCTCTGCAATTGAACCTGGGCCAGTATCTCTAGATGAACAGCTACTAGCTACTTCTGGTGAGAAAATTCCTTCATCTTCTGATAAATCACCTTCTCCATTCACAAGACACCCAAGTTCTGTGCGCCACCGTGCCAGCATTCTCTTGTGTGTGGAGAAAATTCTCCCTTGAAAAAAACAAATACCAGATTTTAAGACGCTGTCTTTCTCCAGATATAACAACATCGAACACAAAATTAGTAGTCAGCAGAACAGACTAATTTATTTACTTTAGCATACAAACTCTAAGCAAACTTCATACATATGAAGGAACACAAGGAAGGAAATTACAAATCTACTCATTATGAAATTTCCCCAAAGCCTCATTACTTCATTTCTCTGAGACCTACACAGTCTCCACAGCACTTTATTTTCAAATGCTTTCAAACTTCATTCAGAGTGAGAAATAATGTTTCAAATTCACATGTTTCTAAGTTAAGTTAACAAAATTTTATACATCAACAAATGACATTTGATTTATTGTTGGCAGAGCATTGTACTTTTCCAGGAGCACCAACCCCAACCCAAAGAACCTGAAAAATCAAATCACCTTCTTTCTGGACAAAATCTGCAAATGAGACAATATTCTGCAGTGTCTTCAGCCTTCTCTTCTCTACAGACACCTTTTCAGCTTTGGCTTCCTTCAATGAATTCGTCAAACACACAGCTGCTTCTGTAACATGAACACAGAAAAATCTTAAAATGTCCCCTTGCACTTAAACATTCCACACATGTGCTGATCATTTTGATTGGTATATTATTCCATACTTAATAAACCTGGAATAGATTAAAATTGAAAAGTACATTTGATGTACTGGCTCTTACCTTTAGCACACCTGTAATTATAAATTTGCATATAAAATAATTTATGATGAAAATAAAATATCTAGACTGCTTCATAATTCAGAATACTTTCATGAGAGTAATGAAAAAAGGGTGAGGCATCAAAAAAATGATCTGGTGCAACTTACCTTTCTCCAGTTCAACTTTTGCTTCAAACTTGATAATATCATCTTTCAGCTGCTGTACAAGATTACTAAGTTGAAGGTTGTGCTTCTCAGTAGCTGCATGATTACTGGCCTCCGATTCAAGCTTCTCCTTTAAAATAGCATTTTCCTTCTTCACCGCTTCCAAATCCTATCAACACACATCTCACATACTGTATTTCCTCAAGTTTAAGTCACCATTTTCATGAGTTACATTTGTCACATTATTATATTATACCAAATTAGGTCATGGTTTCTTTAAAGTATTAGATGATACTGCATCAATATGATGACTTGTTTGCCATAAAATGATACAAAAACTGGTAAAAGTCTGGGGGAATCAAAAAAGATTTGCCAGGACGGATGGCACAATGGCTGAAATTCAAACTGTTTATCTTCCAAACACATATATAACGCATTAATACCTGAATTAATGTTCAGTACAGCTATCATCAATATCTCCAATAGCCATTTATTGTATGACATGCACTATACACTCAATAAACCCAATGTGGAAATACAAACAGAATATACTCGTAATTACAGATTATTGCTCCAAAAATATTACAAACTTGTAGCATACATATTCCTTACCTCTTCCAAAGGTGTTTGCTTATTCACATAGTTCACCAGTTTGCTGTTGTACTCCTTCAACAAAGCATTGGCCTTCTTTTGTTGTTTCCATAGGTTTTCATTCTCCTTACATTTTATATTATATTTTTTTATCAGCTCACTGTAGGAAAACACAGTACACAATAACAAACCAACCACTCTGATGGTACAAGGCTTTCCATGAACAAACGATAGTTATTAATCTGAATAAAAAATTACCTATTGTCTACTATAAATGGAATTCGAAAGTTCAGTGTAATTATTTATTTACTTAGTTATAGTTTATTTAACAATGCTTTTTCAGTAGCTCAGGCTAGGATAGTGAATAATAAATTGAAAATGTTGTGGACGGAAGCAGTCGTGGCTTAATTTAAAGTGCTATCCTGGCATTCACCTGAAAGGATTGAGGACAATCACAAAAACCCCAGGATATCTGGTTTCCTGACCAAGACTTGAATCCAGGATCTCCCAAATACGAAGCAGAAGCATGAACATTAACAACTTGACCACAATGTTTCATTCCAATCTAATAACCTCAAATGTATGCCTACATTGAAAATGTAACAAAAAGCTACCACTACCACAGCTTACAGGTTGTTAAGAGTTGCATTTCACGTGTCACAGAGTAAGCCACCTACTTCTAAACAAAAATACTGGGATTCAGACATACAAGTATAACACAAGTATGCATTTGGGACAAAAAAATCTGGGGCACTAAGTCAGTAACTTAAGTTATTATTATTAATTGCAAATGAACATTCACAACTGGGACTAAGCAGTGTGATGAGAAAGGAATACCGCACACCTTCAGGAACCAAGTGTAATAGTAATATGTATATGTGGCTGTTTTGTGAGATGCTCTTATAGAAGTGAAAGGTTTTAAGACAGCTGTCATATATGAGCAGAGGAAGGTACCATATTTGTTGAAGTTCAAGCTTTACTCATAATGTCTGATTTTAAACAATGCATTACACTGATGTTTTTTTATATATATTTGCAGAAGTATCCTTATGTGATAATGGATGCATACTGTTGACTGTAGTTCTTCAGAGAACACTGATGCCATCGACCAGTCTACACAGTGCAACAACCCAGAAGACAGAAATCTTCATACTCACCGCTGTGAAAACCTCAAATCTTACAAGTTTCTCCACATTTCAATAATATCATTCTGGAAATATCACTTCAAATCATATACACGCCAATAAATACTCACTGTGTAAGAATCAGCTTCTCTTTGTACACCAGAAACCTTTGTTCCAGCTTACTGAGACTATCTTCATATTCCTGAAACAGTAAACAAATCATAAGATTTTAACATAAGGCCTCATGGGATATGAATGTCCATACCAGCCCTGAAGGCAACTCAAAACCCTAGCCAATAGGAATCAGGGGGTTTCTCCTTTCTAGTAAAGTGATCAGAAAAGGAAGTTGATCACTCACCTCCATTAAACGAATAAGCTAAAAATTCGTGAAGTAACATTTTCACTCACTCAAATGTCTTCATGGCATGGTGCTTAATCAAGCATACGGACAACTCAATCTTTGCATACATACATTCCTACTTACATACACGAATGAGTGAAAATAATCAGTAAGCGGTTGTCAGCACGCAACCGGTAACCACGATGTCAAAAGTTAACGTGCGGAATAGAATAAGAATCAGTAAAATACGTACAATATTTACATAAATTGCCAGTGCAAACATATACTGACAATGATTATGATTCCAAAAATTAAATATTTATACATTTTTAAAAACATAACCACTAAGTCACGTGCGATTCACATTCCTAAAAAGTTACGTATGTACCTGTTTCTTTATTACACATTCTATGCATGGCCACTGTTGACAGCTATCACCAACCATTATATATTATGTACATCTAATAACCACACAAGAAGTTAACCAAAAAACCGGCATTAGCACCAAACGTTCTACAACGTTTTTGCAATGTAGTGCAAACTCCACTTCTTTTGTTCAATAACCAGTGTCACAAACATTCGAGACTTGTACCGAGTATTTCCCTTATTTCCTTTATCTTATTTAAACACATTCCCAAACATAATCAACCGAAATAAATGCACGCAATATATTTTAATTCGATATCACTAAATTAACTACTAATACTATGATACAATAATTTAGATTTATCTCAAATACAATGTTATTAATGTCTTTGCAATATTTTCTTCTTCTTCTTTCCGTCAAGGCTGTAAGAGGTAATTTTTACCACGAGCTCATCTGTGTTCTGTCCATGCCTTCCAAAACAGGTAAAAACGGAATTTTGTCAAAGCTCAACAGTTGGTCCTCTGCTATTATCGAAGCTCTACCACCAATTCATGTTACCTAAGCTGTAGTTATTTATGCCTTATTACTTTCAGACTTACGTTACGGATAACATAGAGAAGTATCAAACAAATTCTGACATTAACCCAAACAACATAAACACAAGGCATAAACATAACCTCCACGTACCAAATGCTAACCTTCCTAGTTATCAGAAAGCTGTTCAATGTGGAGTTATCAAGTTATTCATTGCTTTTCCAACTAGCATTTAAAGTTTAAGTTATCATACAAACCAGCACCGAAAGTGTATCTTTTATCTCTCTCCCTATAATTTGTAGAAGAATCTGCTTCAATTAAATGTTTGTATTGTTTTTCTTCCTTAAGCCATTTCTGGTCTTATGGGTCAACAAAATGATGTCCTTTCCCAAGTGTTTTACATTGTTACATGCATTTTATTGTTCTCACTACTTATAATTTCTCAACAAGTTGTTCAAGTTAGCCCATTCTGACCTCAGTAGTTGCCTTTTCAAACATATCAGTCAACAGTCTCTTCAGACATTCTCCGTGAAACTCTCTCTGCATTCAGTCAACATGGTGTATTCTTTCTTCCCCCCCACACACACATGTACATTTTACTTTGTAATTTGTTATTCTGCCCTTCTAAGAAGACTATGTGTGTCATGTACCTCTCCTATTAACACATGTTGCTTCCAATTACTTAAAATAATTTATCTTTTACATTGCCAGCAAAAATGCATTAATTTGTTTATGAGTTCATGGATTAATATGATTGTGTAAAAAATTACCTGGGAAAAAGAAGGGGTGTAGTTTATATGAAAATAAACACAGCATGAGTGGTTTCTATTTTATTATTTTTGAACAAAAAATTCTTTTTTACTTCATTCTTAAGACATCAACTCACCATTAAAATAATGGAAATGGATAACAAGTGTGCCATTCTAAGTTACTCTTACTTATACTTTTGTTGTTCAAAATTAGTTCTTTGTTTAAACTTTGTCTAGATTTTAATTGTATTAGAAAGGTTTTGTAATGGCAGACCTAGTCATTTCAGGGTGTGCTGGTGGTTGCATAAGATGGGATGAAGTAGTAGTACAGGTTTGGAACTTGTAATGGTCAAAGATGATCATGCACCCAATCTTGCAACAAATACTACACAAAAAAAAATTTCTTCGGTACAAAAATGTGTTTCTAATCCAATATTTCAAAACAGAAAAGACCATTGTTGCAACAGATGAAGTCTATTGGTTTCAACATAAATTTCATTTTTTTGAAACATGTCATATCATTTACTAATGCTAGTATTACAACCACAATCAGTCCAATTTAACCCCTTTACTGCTTACACAGTATTATATCCTATATGGTCATATGCAACTTATTGTACCCGGCTATGGGAAAAACTGAAGGAAATACTATTTCCCAGAACACAGAATTGTATGTACATGACATTTATGTTATAACCACATAGAATGCATCACTGTTGATCAATACACATAAATTAACAGCTGCATTACAGAAAGGAATACAACAGCACTTATTTGAAAACAACACCAATGCTAAATGGATTATTCTCATTTTTGGTGATTCAAATGTCTCGAGCCAAGTGCTGTGTTTGTTACCCTGATTTCTGATCACTGTAGCTAACACTTCCACAAATAAATAGTTGTGAAAGTTTAAATGAATACTGAAAACATTTGCTATGTTGAACCATTCATGTGTTCAACTTGTGAATGATTGGTTGAGTGAAATGTTGCTTAAATAAACACTTAACCGTTAACCATGGCTGCAGAAATCATACGGTGCTTTATTTGTGCCAGATTTCACACTGCAATTGTAACTAAAGGTAAAATATTACAATCTCTTTCTAATACACATCTGTTCATCGCCCATTCTTTCTTTTCCCAAAATATATAGAAGAATGCAAAACTTATCTAAGAAATTAATATAATGATAATGTGAAATACACACAGAGTCTGTGAAAGACTTGGTATTAAATGATTTGGAAATGGTCCAGTAAACACTTCCCTATTATTAAAAAAATGAGTCTGTAAAATTGAGTTGGTACAGTATCAGTTAACAAACTTTGTATTATTATAATGATACCAAAGAAACAAAATATTCTGAAACGCATATTAAATAGGATAACACACTGACTCTTTAAAAATTCTATACCTGAACAAAACAGAGGAAAAACTCTATTTACAACAGTTCTACTTCATGGTAATTAGTTATTAAATAAATTTTAAATTAAATATTAAAGCATTTTACAAATTGTGGGAAAATAATTATACATAATATAACATATTATCACGACAGTTAGTGGTGATTCCAGTGGTGATTACAGCCCTTGCTGTAATTCACGTGTAACTGTGGAACCTCTCACGACTGACTAGCTTGTGATCCGTGAATGACATCTGGCAGCAAGAAAAAAATTTCAGTTATGTGCTTGTGCATAGACATCATTGTAAAAATGAATACGAGAATGAAGAGACAAAATATCCTCGCACTAAAAGATATCTAATCATATTTCGATCGTTGTAGAGCTTGGATACCGCTAAGACCTCGACTAAATAACTCTACAAACACAAGAATACCACCTGGTAACCATCTTGTAACACTGTACACAGGCCTTCAAATAATATAAAATTACAAAAATATTGTACCTTCAATGGCTTTGGTGTGAGGCTTTTTATGTTATTTTGATTTTCCAAGAATATACGCATTAATTAGTTGGTGGCCTGCTGTAATGTACCAAAGCCTGCACACAAGGTTGAGACGATTCCCTGCAGCCATGGTACACGTATTAAAACAACCTGTATTGCTGGAGTGTGACATAACTGTAATCTAGGAACATTACTCTGGAAAACTGCTCTGTATCTACCTATGATTTTCCTTCCCATTATTTAATTTTTTGAGCTACATTCTAATATGGGCATGTGTGACTTGTGAGAAACACATTACAAGTAAGTTTTAAATATACATAATACCATAGATGACGCTTTATTTCTTGAATCTTTCCCTTATTGGTTTGGGAGAATGCTTCTATCATTCTGGTACAGATAATAGAATGTACCTCACCAGTTTTCTTAGATGCACAGAAAACTTTTGGGAAGCATTTCTGAGCAGACTGATCTGACTGTTGCTTTGGTATGAAACTATATATAACATATAAAAAGGTGACCTCTTTTGTTTCCTACTTTCAATCTTTGGTATTTAATTAAACAGTGTGTGTCAGGAAGGAAATGGAATAAAACATAACTCTGGCCAAGTGTGAGTAGCAAGCAAAACAAGCAAGAAAGCTGGAATGAAACTTCCACAAATCACCACCAGATGGAAATAGCTGCCAGAGAGGCCACCACATTTATGTACACCACGCACAATAAAAAAACAAACAAATTTAGCAAAGATATTATCTTCTAAAAATTACAATAAATTAGGAACCAAGTACATATTAAGAGGTTTAGAAACTAGAAAGGATTTCTTTTTCTGTTGAATATGGCAAAATTTATACACAGGCAAAAAACAAAAGACAAGATAATTTATAATTATCTACAAAATGTACATATCTTGTGATTTAGAGAAAAACATCATTTATGTATAAAAAGAATTTTGGCTCAATTTCTCTTCCCATGGGATATTTTCTAGCTGCCACAAATAAAATGGGATGACTTGTCTGTTCAAACAGTGATGGAGCAGTTGAGCACATGCCCACCCGTTCACATGATGTACAACTCTCTGCAAGGTGTTGCTATGCCTGGAGTATATCATGGTGTTTGAGCATCAAATAAGAAACTGCAGGGAAATGTAAGTATATTAATATTAAACCATCTATGTTTTCTTGAATTTCTTTGTAAGTAAAAGAACCTGAGATTAAATTATTTGGTTTAGTGATTATTATTTTTGGTGTATAGAAATGAACGCTATTATGTTCCGGAATGTGTCATACATAGTTAAATCCTTTCTCTTTCACACACACTCACATAGAACACATTATTGTTGCAACACCCTGGGCAAACCAACAGGTAGAAATATTGAGGCCATGAAGCAGTAAAAGAAATTGCCAACAACATCATATTTACTTTGTGTAGGGCTTCAGAGAGAGAGAGAGACAAAAATAGTACACAATTTACACATTCTTCTCTATCCTCATCTCCTAAGCATTTCAGTCGAAAGATGGATCCACCTGGATCCTGAAGCGTATTCTCAGCTGTTGCAGTTTACATGTCCAATTTCTCCAGGGCTCCTCGATTGTTCAGAGTGTCTCAGAAAGCAATCTTCCGACACCGTAAGGCAAATAACTGTCACAAACACTATCGGAACGTCAACACATGTCTCTTGTTCTGCAACTTACTGCAAGAAATTGTTATATACAGTCTTCATCAGAGGTTAAATAAATTATTAATATGTTGGACATCATATTGAGAGATTAACAGTTCGTGCCACTCCCCCTTATGGCAGTTCTGTTTAGTCTGATTTTCAACAAGAAAAATGTTTCAGAAACTCAGTATAAAAGCATTCCACACTCATCGGCCACCACATATCAGACTCTTTCTCTCTTTTGCCTTTCGCTAATAACTAAACCCACAATATAATACACAATAAATACATTGTCTGTCCTTCTCTCCTATACCGAGTAAACAATCATGTGAGTGGACAATGGAGGGGAAGCGAGTGGACACCGGACTAGCAACATGCAGACTACGAAGCAATGAGATATCCTCTTGCAACGCATCTCGTTGCATTGTCACTATGGAGGTGGCTGCTGTTGTTGACTGCCATGCTGCGGCATGACTCTGGCGGTTGGATGAAACAGCCCTGGCGCTCCTCTGAGGTCCTTTGGTGCTGATGGCTCCTGCATGAGAACGATACATATACTTACTAAAATAATATTTCATTAATCTATAACAGAGGTTTCTTTTGACATATCAGTTTGTAAATAAAAAATGTATATTTTAGTAATGAAATTTTAAAATTTTAAATTCAACAGCTCTGATATGCAGCTTGTAAACAAAGTACTTACACATGCTGTCTCAGACTGGTGAATCATGGGGATTGCCAGCGAGCGGCTAAATGGTCGTCTTTCTCTCTCGGGATCTCGACTGTTACCGTCCACACAGCTGTAAAATAGAACACAAGAAGTATATGCAAATGACTATGCTCTCTGGCCAAAGTAAAATTGTAATAAAAATTACTTCCTGTATCAAAAATCCACAACACCTATAACTTTAAGATCCCTTCCAATGTTATTATTATAATGACACGAACTGTACCTGGCTCGAGTCTCTTTCTGTTTCCGTTGCAAGTGTATATACACAGCTACACACACGATGACAACCAGGAACACTGCTATCGTGGCTCCACCTGCTATGCTTGCTGTCTGGAACATTTTGCGTTGTTTTGACGCTGCAAATATACCACACACATTAGAATTAAGTAACAAACAGTAGAACTAGCCAAATTCCTTCCGTAGACAATAATTATTAGCTTAAAAGGTTCGCCACTTTTATTAGCTCACATGTCCTTTCCAGTTCACACTCTACATCAGTGGTCCCCAACCTTTTTGTGCCTACGGGCACATTTGAGAGTTTATGAGATCGTGGCGGGCACCAACCAATTAACAAAGCCAAATTTTCTTTTCTCAGGACACCAAATAATACGCAAAACAACACGACGATCTGTTTTACCATTAATGTCTATCTACACCAAAGTTTCATAACTGATCTCTTCCATCAAGGTTTCCCAACCAAAATCTGTTGCACATTTCTCATTTATCTCATGTGTGCAAGTTGTCTTGTTCTTCTTCTTCTTGCTCTGTCACCTTAATAATACTAAGTGAAGAATGTAATTATGAGTCTCCATCTAATTTTCCTCATTTCGCTGTTACAGACTCTTAAAATTATCCTCACAACTTGTAATCAAACCCAATTTATTTCCTTTTCATACTCACATTTTATACACAAATAAAACCACATGTAAAATTCCAGTCTTACATATTTTAATCTTAAGGTACTGGTACCTGAAAAGACTAGATGATAAAAATTCTGAAATGATTTATTGTACGTACTTCCTGAATTTAATCTGCTCTTTCCACAGTTTCTTTATGAATATTATTTTCATGCAGTATTCGTTTTGTAACTTCAAAATTGTCAAAATTTCCAAAGCATTGGGGGTTTTCAGTCAGTAAATTAACCTACAGGCTGGTATAACCAGGATTTCATGTCCCCTACCCACCTGAAGATGGCTATTTATAACTCCTCCTTCTCAACTTCCTAAAGGCACATTCTCAGTAAAATTACATTATGTAGCAAAACATCCTCAAACAGAAAGTGATCAATGAATGGTGCACTGGTTACATAATTTATTATTGCTTTAATCATTACAAGTGTGGTTCGTGAGATATGGCTGATGACGTGCGAATTCATACTTACGCATATAGGATCCGTCCAAGTCTTTGAATTCGCATCTCTGTCCGATAAAGCCCTCTGCACATCTATAAAACAAAACAAAACAAAACACATTTTAACAAAATATATACACACTCTGAAACAAAAACTTCAAATATGAAGATTTCTGTCTTCTGGGTTGTTGCGCTGTGTAGTCTGGTCGATGTTAACCAACGTTTCAGAGGTCATACTGCCTCCGTCATCAGGGCGATATATATATATATAAACATGTGGTGTTCTGATGTTCCTTTAGTTTCAAGACACTGTTATTATATAACATAAATAGACATTATAATTCATATACTGTAAGTAATGGGTGGATTTATTTGTAATGTATCACTACTTTATGTGAACCCTTTTTCATATTATGTGAAATAATTATATATTACATTATTACGATTTATTTCACATCCTACTGTCATTTGACTAACTTATGGATCCATGGAATGCAATAAAGATGTATGTATACAATGAACTCCGGCCGTGAAAATCTAAGGACAAGAATTCTGTTATTTGGTAAACAGCCTGTAGATCAAGAAAGATGGATGGGGGCGACTCAAGGCGGACAATGTGCTGGAATGCCACTTAAGCCGGTTAACTTAAAATCTCAACACGTAGAGGCAGGCACTTCTCATCCCCGAAAAAATTTCACAAAAATTCTGGCTAGTACAAGAGGATTTTGAACAAAAAGATAACCTTTCCTCATTCCTCCAAAGATGAAAGACTGCCGCGACGGATTATGACTATTCCATTCTGTTTGCAATGCGCTCCTTCCATGTCAGTCTGTCTTCACTAATTTGGCCCGACATTCGAGCTTATAGTTCCAACATAAGGTACGGTCTATATCAAAAACTGCAACCAACGCCAAAAACCATGCTACCACCCCGTTCTTACAACGCGCTCATCGTTGAAAGCGACCTCATAAAGGCAAGGTGGCCATTCCTACAGGCGGAATCACAGGTTCTCACGGCGACGAGTATGACGATGGGCTCGATTTATAACTGGCACGAGAAAAATAAATCCACACGCCTGAGATCGATCCCAGCAGGTGAAAATTCTATTCGCTACAACAAGACCGGCTCTGGGGCCCACCCGGCCTCCTATCCAATGGATAAGGGGTTCTCTCCCCTGGGGCGAAAAAGCACAGTGAGCTAAGCACTCACCTTCATCCTCTGCCGAAGTTCGTATGTGAAGCTATACCACCACTTCCCCATACGCTTTAATGGCGTGTTGCTTCGTTACAGTACTACAAACATATATACAGTGGAACCTCGATATAACGCGGGTTTTGGGGGACAGCTTCAGTACCCGCGTTGTATGTGAAATATGTAAAACATATGTAATCGTACTGGGGGGCATGATCACAGCCGCGGTATGTATGTGTATGTGTATGTGTGTGTGTGTGTGTGTGTGTATGTGTGTATATATATATAAATAAATAAAAAGGCTCAACCTTTTGAAAACTTAAAAGAAAATAAACTCTTATCTCTAATAACCATCTTTAATATTTTCTTTCCAAAGGAACTATTCTCAGAAACCTTTCACTTTACTATCAATAATACCATTAAAAATATTTGATATTGTTTATTGATCTAAATCCATTGTCCAGTATACTAAAATGAAGCCACGACGTTTCAGGGGCTGGTTCTGTCCCCGTCTTCAGGTGATAAAACGTACTCTGTTGGTTCCTCTTAGGCCATCCAGGCAAGTGAAATGTCTCCCTTTTAATTTAGTATTCATTAATAATCCTACCATTCGACGCGATACAGTCTGTGTTATTAAACAAATCACAAATAAAAATTACATCTACAACGATCATGAAGACCAGTGAGGAACGCAATATCGCAGCGGTACACGCGTCGACAATTTTCAAACCTTCACGAAGTATTTTATAGCCTTGAAATTGACTGTCTTCTGGGATACTGCGCCTTTTAGTCTGAGCGTCCCCCTGAGAATGGAGGTAGCAAGCACCTCCGAAACGTACGTAATTTTCTACCAGATTACATGGCGCAACATCTGAGAAATGTCATATTCACATTAGCCGCCGCGAGAACCTGAAATCTCACGTCTTCTGCCCTCGTTCTTCAGACAGTCAAATGATTTTCCTGTTTTCTGAACACCCTCTGCACTAAGTAATGTGGGAGCACGCTTCTGCCGCGTTATAAATGCGAGGCATTCCAGCAGATTACCTGTGAGAACACAGCAATGCTGCTTATTGTATATTGAGTGAGCAGTTTACAACGCACAATTGATGATGGGATTTTCGTCTTTTCTCTGTCGTTAACTATTGGTGAGCGGTTTTGCACCCCCTGAGTTTTGTGAAGTGTAGCAGACATTGGGAGCATGATCGGGCAATCCCAGGTCGGATTAGTTCGAAACCTTTCCCATTTCATTTTCTTTCTTCACAAGAATCCATGGACTGAGAATCCAGGCCAAAATTGACTCACAAGTCAATAATGCACGAAGACCCTTTTCAAGTGTTATTTACTGCGCAGTGTCTACATTTTTTTTTTTGTTCGAAGAAATTTGGTCAAATCTTAAATGGTTACTCAGTGGATTTATGTGTGGTCCGTTCCTCATAATTCCAATTAATTCCAAGCAACAGTCGATTAAACGTCCCCTTCCACTGCCATGTAACAGGACTACTGCAAAGATGAAGCACAGCTGAGATAACATCCGCCAATAAGTGAGGTTTGAAGTTCTCACGGCTGTCTTCTGGGATTTTGCGTCATGTAGTGTAGTAGGAATATACCGACATTTCAAAGGTGTTTACTGCTTCCATCATCAGGGCGGTAGGTATTCTGTAACTACCCTATTTTTCTCGTGTAGCTTACTTATCATCCTGGGAAAAACCTGGAGTGGAAGTTACTGGAGAGGAGAGAATCTCGTAGTGCAAACCCTTGAGTTCACCTCGCCCTCTGGGTAAGTTCTAAAGCGTGAAGAATACTTAAAAAATTAACACAGTTCGTAGAGATCAATCACTTCTGTGCCTTCATGTTTGCCAGCTCCAAAATCAACTCGACTTCAAAATAAAGTTCGAAAGGCCATGTTGAATGGAAGTAAATAAATGAGAAACAGATACATCGTGGTGTAAGGACGGCAAGTCCTTCGTGCCAGAATGTCAGTACTCACTCGCAGTTGTAGAGCAAGGAGTCGGCTATCTTGACCGTGAAGCAGGTGGCCCCGTTCAGGCAGTACCAGGTGTTGTAGGCCGGCGGACAGGGGAAGGTGTGGAATGTGATGTTCGGGCGAGCCGTGGGCACAGGCGGCCGGGGCTTCGGAGTCGACCGGCTGGAACATGCGTCTGCAAAGCAACAAAATCATTCGCTTACCACTCCACCTTCTTGTCTCCATAGACAAATATGCTATTAGATGTTTTCATGGCGGTGAAGACGTGGATTGTGGTCTTATCTGGGTTACGATGCCGTTGATGGAACATTCGCTTCAGTGTCCACGACAGAAACGGAAACATCATGATCCTCCGAAACATTGCTAACCACCTACAAGACTACATGGCGTTACAACACAGAAGGCCACAATCCATATCTCTGAATAGGGACTTGCCACACATAACTGCCATATCTTCCGTAAACACTGACTTTATTCAACTGACAATTCGCCGCAAAATACAAAATGGCAAAAAAAACGTATGCTACACAGGATTTAAACTGCAGATTATACACCGTCGGCGACTTTGGTCCTCTGAACCTTGGTAGGATTTGAGGTTCTCACAGCGATAAGCTGTCTTCTGGGCTGTAGTGCCGTGTACTCTGGTAGAAGTTTGCTAATGTTTCAGAGGTCCTTGCTGCCTCTATCACCAGAGCGATGAGTTACTCACCAGACAACACGGCGCTACAAACCAGAAGACAGCCATCTAGTAGCTAGCTACATTATCGGTTCTAAAAGAAGTCCGACGGTTAACGGCATAGGATCCTACCGTCCAACCAACGACTCTCCAAGAAGTACCTCGATCAAAATTCTTTATACGTTTTTCGTTCCCTCATTCGAGATATTATGTCCAGAAGCCTATAACCCTGAATCAGTACCACAACAAAACTACATATAAATTGCGAAGTTCCTGTTTACAATTTTCTTCTCCTCCAACTACCCGATTATATCGACAAAATGACCAGAAGTTTGTCCGTCCGAATGATATACACATCTTGGCACATGTACGTTGAATGTTGAGTTATCCAACGCTTCGGCAAACAATGCAATTACCACTTTCACAGTGACTGTGCGTTGGTTGAGCGTCTTTTGTAGCCTTACATAGACCAGGCAGAAGATGGCGAGAGGGATGTGACAAATCCTTCTTCAGAAGCAGAAGAGCGGGCTGCTATCAAATTGGTAACGAGCACGTGGTTGAAGAAAAGAGGTGATAGGTAGTATGGATAGCAACAGACCAAGGAAAGGCGCGGCTGTCGGCAGATGCGCCATTAAACAGCCGCCACCAGTTACATTGTACAACTTGTCGCGTAGACAGACGTTCTTTACGAGATGTCTGTCTGTCTATTTCACACTGCAACTCCTGTGTCTTCTTTCAGATTAACAGCCGTTCCACGAGTAGGCGGCGGTTAGGTGACGGCTTCTAATCGCGGAAGCCTGGATTCAATCCCAGGACAATCCACACGGGGTACATGATAGACGAAATGAAACTAGAGCAGGTTCATGAGTACATCGGTTTCCTCCTACTATTCGTTACTCCACTAATTGTTCATACTTATTAATCACGCCCTCTCAGATATGCGATAGACCCGATTAGTGCGCACAATAACACAACAAGGGCTTCAGTTCGAAAACGGCACATGGCTACATGTTGGAATCACTGGAGGTAGGAAATCAAAACATAAGTCGCTTCCTACAGACTCTAAAAAGATGTGTAGTGGTAACTATGTGAATCACAGGCTTTAACAAACAGTAATTCGACATGTTCCCTGTACGGCCCCTTGGTTAGTTTAATTTGGCTCTCAGAACAAACAGCAAACTTCTCATTAACACGGTTAATTTATTTTTCATAGTGTTAAGTTGTACTTTTTCTTTCGTAAATCAGAATTAAATGGATATGGGGCCTGCCCCGAAGAACAGGCCTATTGGACGAATGGCAACTCTGCTCATATCGCTGACAGACACACATTTCGTCTCTAGGTTATTCACACATATATCAGAGATAGTCAATCAGACATTACAGCACAAAGGAGGTCTCTCAAGAGGCTGCGTAAGACCACCCACCGGAAGGAAGTGGGCGCTCCACCTCCCAACCCCCATCACCGCTTTCTAGTTGACAATACCGGACCGTGTCTTGCTTCTGACATCGATACGTGGACACGTGGACGGTGCGACAAAATATACGTAATTCGTGACTTACTCAGCTATTTCAGTTTCACGTCTTCATTGACTACTCAGACCCGCAACTAATGTTATTCTGCACAGTCGCCACAGACTAATATCGCCAATCAATTGATACAAGAATTCACCAATTCCCTGGCACAACCAAACTCGGAAACTCAGAACAGAAGCGGAGTTCCTTTGCGAGTTACCTCGGGCGACGCTATGCAAGTGCGAAAATGAGTCGGAACTCTCAACGAAACTACAAAACTTGAATATGGAACTGTGGATCATAAAACCGTCAGTAGCGACAAACATACAAACTCGTTGAGCACAAAATCAAGGCATTTATTGTCGATTACAATCGCCCCAGCCAGAGTATCAGCTTCTATTATGTCTGACGCTTAAGGTACACGTCCGTTAAGCCCACTGACAGTGGACACCAACAGTGGACGCCCCACACACAACATAGGATACAAGAAAACACAAAAACTTCCTTGTGACATACAAGAACTGCCCCCCCCTCCCACTAAATCCACTGGCGAGCAACTAGAATAGACACATCTAAAGGAATTTGTACAAAAGGCTCTCCTTCCTTCACATAATCACAAGTGACCTTCCAGAAATGCATTGTGCCGAATGACTAGGTAACAAATACACGATGGCTGAGTCACAAAATGTCTGATCTAAAACCAACTAGGCAGGCCTAAATCCATAAAGAAACTTTCGAATAACCTGAGTGGTTTGAGATTCTAACGGCGAAAATGTCGATTGTGGTCTTCTGTGTTATGCTGCCGTGTGGTCTTGTAGATGATCACCGACGTTTCGGAGGACGATGTCGCTCCCACCTTCAGTGCAGACCCCATAATACCAACGACGGATTTTACGCAAGGTTGTAACCTATTGCCGATTCTTTCACCATGATGCCTCCGTCATTAGGGCGATTCATCGCCCTGATGACGGAGGCAGTATGACCTCTGAAACGTTGGTTAACATCGACCAGACTACACAGCGCAACAACCCAGAAGACAGAAATCTTCATACTCATCGCCCTGATAACGGAGGCAGTATGACCTCTGAAACGTTGGTTAACATCGACCAGACTACACAGAGCAACAACCCAGAAGACAGAAATCTTCCTTCTTCATTTATTTGCGTCCAGATGGACGGGCAAAGTGAACATTACAGGCGCTCCGCAGTGACATGAATGCATATAAAACGTCTATCCCTGCAGACCGTCCAGACTGCACTTGATCACGGACTCTCAATATCACCGTTCATCTCTGCAAAAGAAGACCCTGAAGTTGCACGTGCAAATTTATCCAGTTTTTGCAGAGAAACTATTTCTGTTTGCTCTGAGCAATGAACTTTTCTTCTGCCAAGAACAATTCACGACTTGATGAAACATGGTTTCGAGAACTGCTGAGCCAAAATGCTAAACACGAAACGTCACAGTCAAGGTCCCTGCTGTTCTAGCCGCTTCTCGGGAAGTTATACATGAGACCTGTTATAAGGACCGAGACGCACGCCATCTTCAGAGGTTACTTACAATTAGCGTCACTGATTTAAAATAAAAACTTTCTCAAATAACGGTATGGAAGTTTGTAAGGACGCGCTTACAAGTGAATAGTTAAAATTATTTTAAAATGTCAAAGGATTTAAACCCAGGAGTGGATTAGCAGGGATGGACCCAACGAGTTGCCGTCCCATCCACGGACTTAAACCAACTACATTTATTATTCTGGTGTCGGAAAACACCAAAAAGTTTTTAACCTGACAAATTCCTCAAAATATTCATGAGCTTGAAGTCAGCTAGATGTGAATCAGTTGACGCTCAAAATGTGTTGTGTGTGAATCACTTTGACACGTACAGAGTGGCCGATTGTGACATTCAAAACCTTCACATGCCATCAGCAACATTTAATACTCTTTTCGCCCTAAAACTTTCAACAGAAGAGACAGCTGTAAACATATTTTCAAAATTGTACAAATGACCCTATATATAAGTTTACTGTATTATGAAAAGAAGCGAAATGAGTGAAAGGTGAAACGCGGAAAGAGAGAGAGAATATGGAAGAAAGAAAAAAAGGAGAAACATTACTTGTACGGTACAGTACGCTGCAGTAGTTTGCCGATAATTGCGAGTTACGCTTGGCGGCCGGCCGCGGCCAGGTGATGTGTGTGCCATACGGACTGCGGTCCTTTCTCCCAGCTGGACGCTGCTCCCCTTTGCTTCTGGCATCTCAGAGCCTGAGTGGATCAAGTCTTTTCTAATTCCCTCACTTTATTTCAAGCACAAAGCTTTAATGATTAATTCGCAGAACTTTTAACAAAGACATACCAACCACGGGGCTTACTTAGCAACGAATTCTACGTGAAATGTTGAGTAAGTACGGATTCGAGAGGAATGAAACACAAAAACAGTCTTAGTCAGAAGAGTCGGTTGGGCGACTTTGTCAACCGGGTACCTTCGAATACAAGCACTGCTTCGACTAGCATGTTCGGTGTCCTTATTATCCACTGCAAATCAGTATTACATGAATCATTCCCGCAAGAACTCGAAGTATCACCCATCACTTAACTGTGCTCACTGACAACGCAATTAATTACATCCATGCGGATGGACGGACAAACATACCTTATGCCACTGTTGCTGAAAAAGTGACGCTGCGCACCTGTTCAATCCGTCACACAGAGCACACCGGAGCACCCAGCGCCCTTATAATTCAGTCGTCAGAATCAAATTAATCGCTTCTGCTTTTATTACGTGCCCGCAATTGGCCCAATGACTACTCAATGTCTATTAAATTCCAAGGAACTGGAAACGTTTTCATTTAAAATAGCCCGTCTCTATACAGAAGGCAACGCAAATGATAAATTAATAATCAGACCTATTATATGACTCAATATATTCTTGAGCATAGTTTCTGCTGCTCTCTGACGTTTGTCAGACACAATTAAATAAAGGCTACAAAGAGA